ATGATAAACATCTGGCAGTTTTAAAAATAGTCTCCCTAAACTATTTTGTAATTGTAAAACATTAGAAATTACATAAATGCCTAAACACAGGAAATTTGTTGAGTAAGCACTAGAATACTGTGAAGTCATATAAAGAGGTGACAAACCCTACAGGCATCATGCTTTCACAAGGAAGAAACAAGGAAGTATAAACACATATGTGTATCCCTAGATAAAGAAATACAAGAAAAGGAACTGAAAAGGAAGCAGTTAAACCCCAGACCGACAGCAAGGAACCAGCATAGAACCAAACCAGGGCCCCTGAACGTGGGTGTCAGCTGGGGGGCTTGGGCAGTCTATGGAGCCTCTGGCAATGGAACCAATATTTATCCCTAGTGTTCGAATGGGATTTGAGAGCCTCTTCCCTATGGAGGGATACTCTCTCAGCCTAGATACATGGGGAAGGCCTGGGTCCTGCCCTACAAGATGTGACAGACTTTGATGACCCCCATGGGAGGCATCACCTTCCCTGAGGAGTGGATGGGGGGTGGGATGGGAAGTCAGGAGGGAGAAGGAACTGGGATTGGTATGTAAAATAAGATTATTTTTAATTTAAAATTAATTTAAAAAAGAAAGCAGCTAAATGATACACCAGAGACTGGGGGAGGGTTAGATGAGAGTGGGAGAGAGGGTGGGGGACTGTGCATCTCTTACTGTAACTTTTTATATGGCTTAGACGTTGGAAATAACATTAACATCTTACAGAGTCGACACAACAATTAAGATGATAAAAGTCTCAGAGCCAAATGAAAAGACAAACAAACGAGGGCAAGCACATTTCAGATAACCACACAGAAGGGGAGAAAAAGAACCGAGCCAAGGATCTTCTGAACATGGCGTTTGGAGCATATGCTCCCACTTCAAAGAGAAAGCACTGCCAGAAAATCTCCAAGTTTTCTCTGCTTCAAAGTGGGGTAAGCATATGACATTGTGATACAAGATTTATACATCTTGTGGGGCAGAGCAAAGAAGGGAAATACAACTATGGGCCAGGAAAGCAAGGAAGCCTGCTGGGGGTGCAGCTCAGTGGGAGAGTGCTTGCCTAGGATGTGTGAGAACCTGCCTTCAACCCCCAGCAAGAGAGAAACAGAGAGATGGCAGAGACCAGGACAGAGAAAGACAGAGGAGACAAAGACACAGAGACAGAGAGACCAGCAAAGAGACAAAGGGAGACAGAGCGACAGGGAAAGGAGGGGAGGAAAGATGAAGAGAGGGGAGGGAATGAGGAACAAGGGACAGTCCTGTGGAGCTAGATATGAATTCGAGGCATAAAGGCATGGCTAGATATGAATTAAAGGCATAAATGCATGGTTTAGAGATACACATAAATGAAAGCACAATTTTTTTAAAAGCCCTGAGTTGAGAAGTATTAAATGTACTTAAGAATCCATGGACCTATTTTAGTAGTGCTAATAAATATATTTGCATTTACCTGTATTAAAAAAAAAGATGGAAAATGTGACCTGGGACATACACAGCATGTAAAGGGTGTGGGGGAATGAAGCAAGTGACAATGTATCCTGCAAAGATGAGGCAATCTACAATCTTTATATGAACTCAGCTTGGCATCTTGCATCCATCCTGAGCTGCAGCCAACACAACTGCCCAGCATGATCCTAGTTAGCTTCCCTGTGTAGTTTCCCAGCTGCCTCTAGACAGAAGAACTGTTAGCACGGTGTAGCATGGTGTATGGAGTGCTGCAACAGGATCCTGGTACCAGAAATGGGCCTGACTCCGATCTCAGTTTAAGACATTCCAGCACAGTGAAATCACTCATACTGGCCAACCAAGAAGCTCCTCATTTAGTCCCAGTGATAGGATGCATTTGGACTTGATACCACCCAGGTCAGGCTTCTGTCAGTAAGCCTACAAAATCACACTTCCTGTCAATGTAATCTTAGATCTGTCCACCTCTATACATCTGTCCAGGTTGTTCCAGTGCAATCGTTCAGATCCTTGTCTTTATTATTCTTTAGTTGCTCTCATCTCTCTTCCAGGAAACAGACAAAGCTCTGTGGTCAAAACAGGGGGTCCCCAAATATCTCAGAAAATTGGTATTTGATTTTCATGGCTCTCCAAATGTCTGTGGTAAATATTCTTCAGAGGATGGTGTAGGCAAGAGTGAAAGTGAGAATAAATGGGAGTGTTTTCATAGCCCAGAGGTGGAATTAGGGGTTGCTATTCCACAAGCCATGGCCAGCACTAAAGTTTGACACAGTAACAAAAACAAACTTCTTTGGACTTACTGTTTGTTTTAGAAAAATGTCTTTAAATTGAAGTGTGAAAAATGGGTTGTTATTCATCCTGTAGGGGGATGCTTGTTTGCTTTTTCAAAATGAGCTGGGTAAGAATGGATGGAGACCACTCACCTGACAGAGCTCTAGGCAGGGTACTGCAATGGCGTGCTTCTCTAGGGATCTGCCTCCCCACAATAACCAGTAGCAAGGCAATAAAGATCTTTGACAAAATATAATAACCAATGTCTTTCTTGGGACTACGCGGTTCAGATGAGACGTGTCATCTAGCCATTTCTACCTGTGAGGAGGCACCTACCAGTTGGTGGATGATCACATTCCTTCTATATAAAAACCACTCCTCAGTCTGCTTTCTGGCAAGATGGCTCTTCAGGATAAGAGGCCACCAACCTTCAGTCAGCTAGTCCATTAGTTAATGGAGTTCTTCTCCAATAGTCACCGTCCTGTCTAATGACCGGCCTCCATCATGGGATGAGCAGGTGGCCGGCTACATCTGCCACAGTAGATTTTTCTGGAATGCCACTGCATTTAAATGTATGGTATTTTCTTTTGCCTCCATGCTACAGTTGGAGCATCATTATTGTTTCTTATCAGTTTTGCTTTTTGAGAAATCCTTTTTTTTTTTTCAGATAGGGTCTTATGTAGCCAGGCTGGCCTCAGACTCACTATGTGATCAAGGATGACCCTGAACTTCTAATCTTCCTGCCCCCACCTCCTAGTGCTGGAATTTTAGATGTGCTCCAGTGTGCCTTGTTTTGTTAAGTGCTGGGACCAAAACCCAGGGAACACTCAACCAACTAAGCTACACCTCAGCCCCTATTACCTTCTTCCCCTATTCTTTGGGTAGACAGTATTCACTTTAAGTCTCACTTCAAGAATAGGAAGGGACATATAACAAAGCTTACACATGACAATCTGTTAAGTCTAAGAAGTTGTGCCTGAAAGAGTGTTTTCCAGCTCTGACCCAGTACTTGCTTGCGAGGGTCAGTCTCAATACAGAAGGTAGTACACGAACCTTGCAACAGACTTTGTATTGTAAGAAGTGACCCAGAGACCCAATGGGAACCCACTCACAACCTCTGGACTGACAATTCCTTGGGGACAAGACAGTGGGTCTTAAATTCCACCTAAATCCTTTATGGTTCCCAGAAGCAGTCACCGAGTCCCACCACAACCTTCTTTCTAGAACCTTCATTCCCCACTCTGGGAGGGCAACCCTCTTGTGAATTCTGGTCATAGGTGGGGCCACAGGACCAGCCTACGGAATTTCCAGAAACAACCATATCCCGGCAGGGTGTTAATCAGTAACAGTCCCAAGGGGACCACACTTTGGAATAACAAATATTTGCAGAAGGCTTTGGGCTTCAAAGCTTATGCCTCTTCTCTCTGAATGCTCTCAGCACCAGTGGTCTGGAACTGGTAAGCGTTGGTGGGTGGCAGGGGACCCTCCAGAGAGTCTAACAGGGAAGCGGGGAGAAGAGCCCTTTTACTCTCTCCTAGTGGACTTCAAGGTGAGGTCTAGGGAGCAGGCATTGCTCTTTCAGCTTAGACCCCAAAGGCCTGTAAATCAAAGTTGAGCTCAGGGTGGCATATAAAGCATGTCAGCCATAGATAGGAGGTGGCCAAAGAAATGGCTCTGAAGGCTTGGTATTTGTCATCTACCACAGCTCACTGCCCAGGCAGGCAAGTCTGGTCCCACCAGGGCTGGAGAGAGGCAAGGGAGGCACTGTTCTCCACACACTGCTCAGAGCTGTGTCAGGTAAACAGCCCATTTCCTACCATTTAGGCTCCGTGTGACCAGCTGTGTCCTTAGCAATTTGATGTTGGCCTAGGTACAGCAGAGAGTGAGCTACTGGGGACACCTTAGTGATATATACCTCAGCCTCTAGGACAATGGTAATGTAGCTGATCACAATATAATGAATGGCACAGCCCCAGAGCCAAGTTTGGGGTCTGAGAGTGCAGAGGAATCTCAGAGAGGTAGCACCTGACAGTCAGAAGGAGGAGCTTGGTGCTGGAAAGTCACTGCCAGGGCAGGGTTAGCTTCCAGTGGACTGTGGACCTGGGACAGGGATGGCCAGTGTGTGCCTTCAGGGGCAGTGGGATTGAGTCCAGGTCTTGTGCAAAGAGGAATCATCTGTGTTTCCTGCAGCCATCTTGTAGCTGTGGGTAGAGGAAGGAAAGGAGACCTACCAGGAACTGTGTATGGGAAGTGCAGGGGAGGAGGGGCTTAAATCAGAAAGCTCTGTGTGGGGATGCCTTCCTTTGGTCAGATTCTCTCTTGGACCTTCCAAATTCCCAGTCAAAGGTGTCACAATCAAGGTCCTGTAGTTAAGCACAGAGGGGCTGTTTGATATGCTTTATGGAACAGATGACAAAGGCAAAGCCTGAAGCAGGTTAGTAAATGGACCCAACTCCCACCTGATCCTGTTATGAGGTCCATTCCATAGGAAAGGGCCATGACTGGCCAGTGAGCAGAAACTGGGGGAGGGACCATAAGCTGCCTGCCCAAGGACCTGGCATAGGACAAGACTCTTGGAGGAAGGCTTGTAAACCCCCACCATGGTAACATCCCCACCCACCTATCTGCTCTAGATCAGTCTAGGGTATCACTAACCTGCAGGAACCCAGGAAAAAGCCCACATGTAGCAATGATGCTTTATTAGGTATTAAGATATTTTCTCCCTCCCTCCCTCCCTTCCTCCTTCCCTCCCTCTCCCAGGATGAAGGAAAGTGGCCCCTGGCCTCCACAGCTGAGCACATGAGGGCTGTTTTTAGCCTCTTGCTTCCTATCCTCCTGGCAGAGGTGTGTCTGGTGACCAGTTTGAACTTCAGCTCCCATTCACCAGAGGCCCAGGCAGAGTTGGAGTCTTGGGATCCCCAGAACCAGACTTGGGAGGAGGAGTCATGGACTGTCCCCAGCGATGAAGAGAAAGAAGAATACTGGCTGAAGACCAGCCAGCAGCAGCTCTCCAATGAGACTTCAAACTTTGGGTTCAGCCTGCTTCGGAAGATCTCCATGAGGCACGACGGCAATGTGATCTTTTCACCGTTTGGTCTGTCTGTGGCCATGGTGAGCCTGACGCTGGGAGCCAAGGGAGAGACCAAAGTCCAGGTGGAGAATGGACTCCACCTGCAGGCCCTGAGCCAGGCAGGACCCCTGATCCTCCCATCCCTCTTCAAAAGGCTCAGAGAGACCCTCTCCAGCAATCAAGAACTGGACCTTGCCCAGGGTAGCTTTGCCTTCATCCACAAGGACTTTGATATCAAAGAGACCTACCTCAATCTATCCAAGAAGTATTTCAATACAGAGTGTGTGCCTACAAATTTTCAAAATTCCTCACAGGCCAGAGGGCTCATGAACCACTACATCAACAAAGAGACTCGGGGGAAAATTCCCAAGCTCTTTGATGAGATTAATCCTGAAACAAAGTTGATTCTGGTGCACTACATCTTCTTCAAAGGTATTTTGATAGTCTTGTTGCTGCTGCAAAGCCATGAGAACCCGACCCTCTCTCCCTTTCCTTTTTCTGGTCAGTGTAGTTAGCACTAAAGGATGCTCTGCATGCAGGGGCTCTGCTTTGCAGGCCCAGCATACACTAAGGAGGGAACAATGCTTTCTCCAAGGCCCCCACTCTCACTGCAGACTTATGGTCCTGAGCCGCCACCACCAGCACCTGCACACATGTGGTCCTCAGTTTCCATAGCTCCTCTGCCTGGTTTTCTTCTAATATTTGGAAAAGGCTACTGGATGAGAAACTCACTATCAGCGAGACTTAGGTAGTATCTCTATTCCTATCCTGTTTTGGGGACCTGGGGCAAAATCTCTGCCCTTGGATTTGTTGTCATTATTATAGTGTGTGTGTGTGTGTGTGTGTGTGTGTGTGTGTGTGTGTGTGTGTGTGTGTGTAGGTAGGTAGGTAGGTAGGTAGGTAGGTAGGTAGGTAGGTAGGTTTACCCAGCAGTCAGAGGTGTTGGATCCTCCTGGAATTGGAGTTACAGGCAATATGGGTGCTAGGAACCAAACTTGACTCCTCTGTACAAGCAGCTTGTGCTCTTAACTGATAAGCCACCTTCCCAGTCCCATAGTCTTACACGTTTTATATAAAAACTGGGACTCTAACTTGTTACAGGTATGAAGCCACAAGAGCTGAAATATGCAAGGTACTACACGGTATGCTTGGCAGTTACTATCCACCATGGAACAGGAACAGGTTGCATCTTTTTTCTTCCTGTCAGCCAATGTACCTGGCAGAGTAGGGTCACTGTCTCCTTTCTTAAGGGGATGAAGGTGAAGGTTGGAGAAGCTGCGTTGATCAGGATCACACAGGAATGGCAGAAGTTAAAATGCAAAGAAGGATCCCATGACCTCATAACCCAATTACTTCTAACCCCAACAGGGAACAGGGTATGGTGTACATGCCTCTGGTGCTTAAAGCTGTACCTGGAGACTTACGAAGCCCTAGGTAGAAGGGCCATTTGCCAGCACCCCCACCAGATGCTCAGTGTAGAATCATGTAGTAGCCTCTTCTGCTTCCAGATCCACATGAAACGATGCTGGGCTAGAAATACCCTCACTACCTGGAAAGTATATGTTTGCATATGGGCATTCTGGGGCCATGTGGTAGCTATGAGTCCCTCATGTAGACAGCCATTGAAAGCCTTCTGCTAGGAAATGAAGTTTTGTTCAGATCCAGAACAAGGGGAACAAAGGAGAGGAGGGGGAGTCTTTGCTTTTGTGTGTGGTTCCATTGTGGGTTACAGGTGGAGCTGAAGTTTGGTCTTTGGGGAATTTGCTGCCTGGGCTGTGGGCCAAGCAAACTCCGGAAAAAAAAAAAAGAACAGCACTCCCTCTACCACTCGGGTGAAACCAATGTGTTCCATGGAGACTTGCTTCTTTAGGGGCTTTCTTCTGACTTGTTCAGGGAAGTGGCTGACTCCATTTGACCCCGCCTTCACTGAGACTGACACTTTCCACCTGGACAAATACAAGGCAGTTAAGGTGCCCATGATGTACCAGGAAGGCAACTTTGCCTCCACATTTGATAAGAAGTTCCGCTGTCACATCCTCAAACTGCCCTACCAAGGAAATGCCACCATGCTAGTGGTCCTCATGGAGAAAACAGGTGACCACTTGGCCCTGGAGGACTACCTGACCACAGATCTTGTGGAGACATGGCTCCAGAATATGAAAACCAGGTACGATGCTCCCCCTGTCTCACAGACTTGGCCTGTCATCCTCATGAACAACCCCAACAGTTTTACGCAATACCCTGCGGCTTACTGCCCATGCTACCAAGCTTCTGCAGGCAGAAGAAACATCTGTCCTGCTTTCAACTCTATCTCATCATCAATCCAGTGTAGGCCCAGCTTTACTGCTCATTAACTCAGCAAAGACAACAATTTGCCTTATTGAGATACCATGGTTGCATCAGTTAAGAAGCCAGGCAGAGGGAGTAAAATAACACTGTAAGTGTGGTGAGAAGAAATAGAAGGGCAGGGTAGATACTCGGGTGTTTATTGGAAGTCAGTCCACCTGCTGAAGAACAAGTAGACGGCTCCAATAAGAATCTCACGGTGTATCTCCCAAGTCCTTCCACTCCAGAGCTCAATCAAAGGTCCTTGCTACAGGTTCCACTTTCATTTTTCTGCCATTTGTTTTTTAAGTCTTTAGGCACTAGCAAAGGACTGAAACATAACCCCTAACAAGTATTTGCTGGCCAACTACATTTATGAATTAACACTTAACATAAAGTCATATCCTCTGTTACGTCTATCATTCTTTTCAACAACTCTGATATTGGTATATGCACTTTTGACTACTCTTAACAGAGCAAGAAAAGTGAAAACCAAGATTAATTTGATATAATTAGTAGCTTTTATGTGTTTTTTATTTCTGAGCCAAAAAAAACCCTCATCTTCCCAAATCTCATATTCTCAGACTACTCACAGGGCATCCCTGACTAAGATGGTAGGGTTAGTTAGTTCAAAGCCCTCTTTGCTTCCTTTGTCTGCACATCCCCAAGTTCTCTGGGAATACTGAGTCTGGGGTTCTAGGCTGGGAACAGTATCTTCCAGCAGTCTGCAGGGATGCAGGAAGTAGCTAGGGAGTTGGCTGGGATTGTTTTTTAAACATAGGGAAATAGACATGGAGTCTGGCATTCTTTACTAAGAAGCATTTTGGGTAGTGAGCTGAGAAGCTAGCTTACTGGGTAGACACAGTGATGTTTCATAAGCCAGAAGTATTTTTTTCTGGGATAGAACACTACCAAAGGATCACATGAGCTATGTACAGTCAGACAGAGGAAATACTCATGGAGGAAGAGAGCATGTCCTCATCAGCATCCCCCAGCCATTTCACTATCATCTGTCCTTGTGCCACAGGAAGATGGAGGTTTTCTTTCCCAAGTTCAAGCTGGACCAGAGGTATGAGATGCACAAGCTGCTCCAGCAGATGGGAATCAGGAGAGTCTTCTCCACCTCAGCTGACCTCAGCGAACTCTCAGCCTTGGCAAGAAATCTGCAGGTGTCCAAGGCAAGTCAGGGGCTGTGCTGAGGCCCAGTCCTCAGCATGCAATGCCACTGAAACCAACAAATACTGTGCAAACCATGTCATTGTGATTAAATGTCTAGCCCTAGTAGGGAATTTGACTTCAGTCCTAACAACTTGAAGTAGCATTCAAACCAGGTGTTCTAAGGACCTCAAGCCATGCTATTCAATCACCATTTTAAATAGGTTCTCATTGGAAGAGCTCCATCCCTCCTCCCTCCCAAGCCCTGGGGAGGCATCTGCCCCCCCATACGGACAGGCTTTTAACCCATCAGTAGCTGTGTTGAATATGGAAAGGGCTCATGAAAGTATATCACCTTTAGCATGAAAGAAATCCCTAGTCATCACCTGGCCCCGCCTCCATGCCCTGTGATGAACATTCCACCTCCTCTATAATTAGCCTCAGAGACCCTCTTGTTCTTCCTCTCCCTCCTATTCTTCAGACAAGGAACTCATCCCTTCTCTGAAAAGCAGCCCAATACACAAATGGGTGATTCTTTTGCAATACATTGACTGGTAAGTTCTCCAACTCAGACTTTTTGGTCCTTCTTCTGAAGTACCGAAAACAAACTGATTCAACTTAGGTAGCAGTCAGCACATACTTGGTGCCACTGCTGTTGGGCCCACGCTGGTCCTTTGACGTCCTTCTGGCTGACCGTGAGGGGGAAGCTCGTGGTTAGTCTTCTTGCTAGCTCACACCAAATCTCTAACTAATCAGTGTTTCTCTGGATCTTGGAGCAGTTGTGCCCTGCAGTGAAACTTGCTAGCATTTCTGGCCTGTGTGCATTCCAACTCTCTCCTTTACCATTACAATCAAGAGGTTTGAATAAGATTTGCCAGTACCACTGTTAATTATGAGAGATTTAAAGTAGTGCCATGTAAGTGGGAGCCAGCAGGGTAACCTCAGCCTGAGTTCAGGCAACCAGGATCCAGGAAGGCATCACAAACCATCAGACTTGCCCCCAGGAAATGCCTCAGAGTAATTAATTATCAGTCAGCTTAGAGTGCCCTCAGCTTAGGAATCAGCATCACAAAGTACATGGTCAATAAATACTTACTAGATGCCCACATGCACAAATGTATCAGCCAGCTTTCCCGGTTCTAAGCCCCAGAATGCATCTCACAGAGGGCACAGTTCCCACAGCCTCCTGGTATCATTTTGAATTAGGAGGCAGTCTCTGGTGCCATCTCATGCACCTCTTAGCAAATACAGGCTGCAACGCTGCACCCCAGGAACATGGCTGGGTGGGCAGAGCTCCTGTGGACATTTTCTGTCACTCCCCTCTTCCCATTGTCACACAAATGGTCTTGCATGTCCTTTCCTTTCTAGGTCTTACAGCAATCAGTCCTTGAGGTGGATGAAAGCGGAACTGAAGCAGTGGCCGGGACAATGTCAGAGATTGTTGCTTACTCCATGCCTCCTGTCATCAAAGTGAACCGACCTTTTCATTTCATGATCTATGAGGAGACGTCCAGGATGCTTCTGTTTCTGGGCAGGGTGGTGAACCCCACTGTCCTATGACTCTGGCATGTGAAAGCCTCAGTCACAACAGCTGCTTAGCCAGAGGTGTCTGAATCATAGGATGTTGGTGGTGAATGGATGTGTCCTCTGCATTTAGCCAGTGGCTGTTCTCTGATCAACACAGAAATTAAAACGATGTCTGTGCAATCTGTCCAGCATTTTAAACTTGCTCCTGAGATCCTTTGCTGACTGACTGAAGACTAAGTGAGAAGAATCCTTCTCTGCTGCTCTCCTGCCTGGACTTTGAGAGCAGTAGGTAGGACAGCCATTGTGACACAAAGTATCTGGGAAATACATGGACATTCTCCTACAGGCATGCTTCTCACTCTCAATTTCTCTCTCGTGCAAAATCGGGGTTTTATTTGAGTTTATCTCACAATTTCTCTCTGTGTATCTCTCTCTCCTTCGTTTCTGTCTCTCTCCTTCTCTTTCCCTCTCATTCCCCTCCCCAACCCACCCATCTCCCACTCTCTGACATAGCTATGGCTGGCCTGGAACTCTATGTAGACCAAGCTGGTCTTGAACTTGAAAAAAATCCACCTGCCTCTGCCTCCTGAGTGCTAGGATTAAAAGTGTGTGCTACCACACTCAGCATTTTTTATGTGTTGTAATATGTTTTAATTAATAACAGAATTCTTTTTATTAAAATTAGCAGCAAATTCTCATACTCTAATCACAATGTCTGGCTCAATAACAGCCACGCATCTCCATGACACCACAGCCACCACAGATCACACAGTTCAGTACTTTCATTCTACAAGGAAAACAAACGGGCCAGAACCAGGCCACATCCTGACTTTCACGAGTGACAGGCACCTTTTCCTCTGTGCATTCCTTTCTTCACTAGAGTTTACAAGTATACATATAAATACATGCACTAACAATGACCTTTTATGATTGCTTTGGTATAACGATGAATACAGTCTCAATTATATTCACCGTTTGCCAACAAAAAGTATATGTCTTGCTCATTGCTGATTAAGGAAACACCTTTGAGAGTTTTTATCATAGCAGGGGCATGACTATAGTGCCCGCTGCACATGATGAGTGTATATCAAACCTTATATCTCAGTGGGAGGGAGCAATTGCCCAAGGCCATTCAGTGTAACCATAGTAAGCCAATTCTTCCTTCCTATTCTAGTCTCAAATCCTTGTTACATCACCTTCCCTCTCTAGTCTCTCAGAGACTGCTGAATAGTAGTCTGCCTTTGCCTTGGTTAGCCACCGCAGTTAAACAAAAAGAAGCATGGACTTCGTCCCAATATGAAAGGAAAATGAAAATACCTCTAAAGCATTCTTGGGCAGTCATTTTCTATCTTATAGAATAGAAATGAAATAAGGCAGTCCTTTGGGAATAAATCAGAGATTCCTGAATGGGGCTGTCGGCTGTGCTAAATGCTTCCTTGCATTTCTATCTGCTGTTTAATATGTAAACATACCTAACATTAATTTATTCATTAGTTACTCAATGACTGTACGTCACGGGTAGCATGAACAGGAGACAGTATCAAGAGGCAGTCTAAACCAGACTTCCTCACCTCACTCTTGACATTCATTCACTCTGTAGTCATCTGGGCATTAATAGATGTTCAGTTAGGACCAGAAAATTCTGGAGCCTAGGAAGAGAGACATGAGAAGATGGCTCTAACTGGCACTTGTAGATACTTGTGTTCGGTTACTTTGGTGTGCTTGTGGGGAAATATTAGGAAGAGAATCTTTATTTTTTTATAGATTTATTTTATGTATACGGATGTTTTGTCTGCAAGTACATCTGCACACCAGAAGAGGACATCCTATCCCAAGGACTACAGTTATAGACAGTTGTGAGCCACCATGTAAGTGCTGGGAATTGAACTTGGGGCCAGAAAGAGGGATTTTAAAAGAGGGTTCTGGCTCTTTTCTCACTTGGAGAGATGAAATCTAGAAAAGGAAGCCTATGGCTCTACCATCCTGGAATAAACACTGCCAAAGCCAGTGACAGGCAGGCCAGCACTGCAGATGGAGCAGAGCACTGTCAACACACCTAGTTAAAGAATATTAGGTCTTCTGATAAAATGAAGATATCAGTAGATGTTCCCATTTGCCACCCATTTGCTTTTTAATCTTCCTGCATATTTGTTTCTGGGGTACAATTTTAACAAATATTCAAAAAATTTTAAAGTTTTTAATGCTTGTGAAAAAATACTCTCAAAAGTAATTTTGAATAACTGCTTTAATTGAGAATTTAATGCCTGAGCAATTGACTTCCAACTTTATAAGCAGTGGTGACTATTCTCTGTCAGATCACTTTCACCTTATCCCACATAAATAACAAGAATATAAAAAGCTTATGACTACTAAGTGTATTATTTAACAATCAAATTGAAATTCTCCCTTTTATCTGAAGTAGACAGAGGCAATGCCGACTTTTTGAACCAGAGTACTGGAAAAACGGATGCAGTTATGATGCCCCTTTATGCACAATGAATTCTCCAGACCACAATAGATTCAATTCCATATTACTAATGCTAGTAGGAGACATAAACTTGTTAAACTCGATTTCCTTATGTAGGATGGTAAAGTTTCTCATGGCTACTAGACTCTCACTTCTGACCTGACTGTCCTTGATGAAGGGTGTTACGAGTCCCTAAAGAGACCATGGGGAAGGGAAGGAATGACAAAGAATGAAGAAGCAGTAAGCAACTGTCCCTGAGTCCTTTACAGTTGACACAAATACGCTCCACTTGCTCATTATATAAAGATGAACTGCCTTCTCCTTATAGAGTAAGAACTGTAGGAAAGTATTTAAAACTTTTCTCACAAGTTCTGGTAGCTCATTAACCTCTGCTTTATTTTAAACAAGCTCATTATCCATTTCACATTATAAAAAGTAACCACGCACATGTATGCATTCACAAATTAGATCATCTTTATCATACATCAATATATTTTTAAAAAACAAGTATTTTCTGATATCAATATAGGTATATGCTGATTGCATTTGAAATAGAGAAGCTGACAATAGCTTCATACATTCTATCTCAGGAACCGACATTTTAAAGTTAAGGACAATCTATGTTCCACAGGCAAATTTTGATGGAAGTATTAGCTTTAGTACAAATGGGTGCTGTTGACGTAGCATGAGCATGATAGCTTAGAATAACAGCTGATTCAAACTAGATTCATCATTTTAAATTAAGGACAGATACAATCCAAAATGTAAACAAAGCATTTATAAAAGAATTTTAGGAATTAAGGAAATCATCAATCTATCATTTTAAAGGTATTTTTGTAGCTAAAATTTTCATGAATCTTTTCAGATTTTCATGGCCGAATCTAGACTGGGATCATCTAGGTACTGACACTGTCACAGAATCCCAAGACCCATGGAACCACAGACAGTGTTCGGTTTGACTTGTCTGCTCGGCTTAGAGAGCTCTGAGGAAATACAGTGCCTTTCTTACCTCCTGTGTCCTTGCCCAAGTAGCTACCCAAGGAGCAGTCAGCTAATCCAGACTGCTGCAGAATTTCTAAATGTACAACTTAGAGTAACCAACAGCCAGCTTCCCACAGAGACAGGCATGTCTCTCCTGCAGTCTGAGTGCACACCTCAAGTTGGAGTTCAATTGCACTGCACTGGGATTCAGAGCCCACATTAAAACATGCCATACCTCCTAGGGAATCTAACTCCAAATAAGGTAAGTTTCACATCAGCTGCCTGGTGTTCCTTTGTCCCTTCCACACTTAACAAGCCTGGCATCACTGGCGCTCTTTTCCACCGTCTCAGTCTCTGCTGACTGCTTGCCTCCGTCACCAAGCAGTTGACTTAAGGATTGGATTTTCTGGATTTTCTGATGAAGGAAAGAAAGAAAGAGGAAGGAGAGAAGGGAGGGAAGCAGGAAAGGAGAAAGAGACCAAAAAGAAAATGTAAAACAATTATCCATATAAAGTAAATAAAGAAATGTAAATATGCTACTCTGACTAACCCTACAATATGAGAACTCTGATGAAGAGGAAATGAATTACACATTAAGGATCATTCAGGATTACCTGTAAGTAAAAGACCATCCTGCACATACCTACTAGCATCCCCTTCAATTTACACAACCTTTCCTACACTTTTGATTTTGTATACCATTAAGGAAATTGCACAGATATATCAGCTGTCCAGCCCTAGAAAACAGAAGCTATGCTGCACACCTGTACTTCCCTTATGACATACTGCTTCTAAACACCAGAGCTGCCTTTTGGTAAAGCAGGCGAATCTCCTGCACAGGATTTTTCTAGGAAGTAAAAATTGAGGTAATGCTTTCTGCAATCACTTCATAGGCTTATTTTAAATTAAAAGAACCTTTTTTTCTTTTCAATTTGGATATGACAGTCTCTAAATTGTTGATAACACTTCACTGGAAAAAGGCCAGTTTAGATACCAATTACCCATCCAACTAATGGGCATGTTAGAACCCTGTGTGGGAAAAGTCAGTGCTGCACAGTAAGACATGTGTGAAGAAGGGGCTGTAGATGCTTGCAAGCCTTCCTTCAGACCACTTGAAAAAGGTACAAATGAGTTCTCACTGGTCTTTGTTTTAGATTCATTTTGGTAGCCATCAGTTAGACCAGAAAATAGGAAACTCAGTCTGCAAAAAGGAAAGATGTACACAGCAATGAAAGAACGGATAAAGTATCTGGAACAAAGAAAAGTGCCATGAAATATTGGTTCAGCAATCTTTCGTTTAAAAAGCAAAATTACATGTTGAGTTGGGAGAAGAATGGAGGAGAGCAGGAAAGGAGATACCATAATAGAGGGAGCCATTCTAGGTTTGAGGGGAGATCTGGCACTAGTGAGATCTCCAGAGATCTACAAGGATGGCACCAATTGATAAACTAAGCAGTAATGGAGAGACTACATTAAATGCCCCTCCATAATAATGATTTTGACGACTGTCTTACCTACCATCCTAGAACCTCCATCCAGTGACAGAAGAAAGCAAAGGCAGACACGCACAGCTAAACACTGAACTGAACTCCTGGAACCCAGTGACAGAAAGGGAGCAAAGGGGTCAAGACTGGGCTGGTGAAATCCAGAGAAACAACTGACCTGAACAAGAGGGAGATCTTGGACCCCAGACTGATGGCTGAGAAGCCAGCATGGGACTGATCCAGACCCCCTGAATGTGGGTGTCAATGAGGAAACTCAGGCAATCTATGGGGTTTTGGGATAGTAAATCAGTATTTATCCCTGGAACAAAATGGACTTTGGGGACCCATCCCACAATGAGGGATGCTCTCTCAATCTGGATACTTTGGGGAGGGCCTGGGCCCTCCCAGGAATGAAATGACAGACTCTAGAGATCACCCATGGAGGGCCTTATCCTCCCTAGGGAATGGAGTGGGGATTAGGTGGGGGGCTTGGGGGCTAGTGGGGGGCAGTGGGTGTGGAGGGGAGGGAGAGGGAGCTGGGACTAACATGGGAAGCAAGCTTGTTCCTAATTTAAATATATAATTAAAAGTGTAATAAAAAACAAAATAAAATTAAAAAAACAACGATACCACCATGTTCCTCAAGAAAGGTTCAGAGCAGTAGAAGAAGAGGGTCTGTGGTGACAGAGAAAGACCTCAGGATATAGAACTGAGAGGCCCCTTAAATGAGTTATGAGCCAGACCTGTTATTTGACAGATGTGTAGAATCCCTAGAGCCCTGCAGGCTCACTGATGCACAGTGACTTTGCTCATACTGGAGTGGGTACATGGTTCTAGCCCAGAGTGCTGCAGACCACCAACCCATGCCACCTCTGCTCTCATGGCTCCTAAACAGCACTAGGCTTTCTGTAGAAAGAACACCCTTCAAGTTGGCACCACTAGTCTGCAATATCTGAATCTCCTGTTGCTATGATTATTTTTTGGAGCATTTAGTCCCACATTCTGAGCTCCATTCATCTTTTTTAATTCTGAATGAAATGGGGTACATTTCTATCACATATTTCTAATGTACATACCAATAGCGAGTCAGAATTTAAAATTAATTATAATACAACCAGTTCCTAAAAGGCACTCAAGCCAACCAGAGAGTTTCCATGGAAAGATGCAGGTGAAAAATTTTATTCAAAAATGTGAGCCAGGCATAGTGAGGTATACCTGTAATCTCAGCATTTGAGAGGCATTGGCAAGAGGTCTCAAGTTCTAGGCCAGAGTGGGCTACATGGTGAACCCTATCTCAAAAACAGGAAGAAGGGAAGGAGGAAGAGAGGAAGGAAAAGAAAGAGAGCCAAAAGCCCATGAATTTAGTGATGTATGCTCAAGAGGAAATCTGAATCTTGCTAAGTTTTACTATGATTTGAACAACTGCTCTGTATGAGAGAACAAAGCTGTAGCTATAGTTTGGGCATCCTTGCAGT